GGGGTTTGTGCTGGGAGAAGGGTGCAACAATGAATGAATGGAATCCTAAAATCTCTGTAGATGTTCATTGAAATGAAAAATAAACAACCTAAATAAAAAAAAAAAGACTCCTGTCTGAGATGGTATTACCAAATGTTTGTTCCTAGTCTGTAGGTTTTCACCCTGTTGGGAAAAGTATTTGATGTGCACAGAGACTTAATCTTTAGAAGGTCCCATGCATCAATTTTATCCTATTTAGATTGTGCATTTCTGTTATACTTGGCAGTCTATTTATGCTTTAGACTAGCACTTCTAAGCTTGATCCCAGTTTTCTCATAGACAGTGAACTGCCAGACAGTCAAGCAGGATTTAGAAGAGGCCATGGCACCACAGATATCATTGGCTGAAAGCAAAGAATAGCAGAAAATGTCTATTTGTGCTTTCCCAACCCTCCTCTGACCGAATCTAGGAATGCTTACTCTCTGGAGGTTTTTTTTTGTTTGTTTGTTTTTAATACTTGTTTGTTTACCAAGTTTGTACACATTGTTTTTCACACCAGATCTTTCCCATTTCCTACACTCCCACCTCTCTCCACCCATTGAATTGTGCGACCCTATGATTATCGGCCCTCTCCTCCTCAGCTCTCTGCTCTCCCCTCCCTGCCCTTGTATCCTCATACTTGTTCTACAATAATGGTCCTGTACAATATTTGTGCTTATGGGGCTGAGTTAGTTCACTCACCATAATGCTCCCCAGGCCCTCCCAGGTTAGGTTGTGATTTACAAAATCATTGCTCCTGCATGCTGCATAGTATTCCTTTGTATGAACGTACTATAATTTCTCAATCCATTCCATTGTGGTTAGATATCTGGGCTGTCTCCTTGTTCTTGCAATGGTGAATAGCACTGCTACAAATATTGGTACACAAGTTTTCATTTGTGCCTCAGTTCTCATTTTCTCAGGGTATATTCCAAGCAGTGGAATAGCTGGTCATAAGGAATTTCTATGTTCAGCCTTTTGAGGAAACTCCAAACTGCCTTCCAGAGTGGTTGTACCTTTGTACAATCCCACCAACAATATATAAGAGTTTCTTTCTGTCCACATCCTCTCCAACAATTATTATTTGCTGTCCTGTTAAACTTTTGCCACTGCTACTGGGACAATATGGTATCTCATTGTGGTTTTGATTTGCATATCTCTTATTTCCAGTGATTTTGAGCATTTCTTCATGTGTCTGTTGGCCATCAGAATATCTTCCTCTGTGAAAATTCTTTCCATGTCTTTTGCCCATTTTGTAATTGTGCAATAAGTCTTTTTCTTGGGGAGGCGCTGTAGGATTCTGTAAACTTTTGAAATGAGACCCTTGTCTGAAATTGTCAAATGATTTTTCCCAGTCAGTAGCTTTTCTTTTCACTCTGTTGGAAAAACGTTTTGATGCACACAGGGATTTAATCCTTAGAAGGTCCTATTCATCAATTTTATCTTCTCCAAAATGAATATTTCTGGCTGTATTTGGCAGTCTCTTTTTACCATAGTCTATGATGTCTAAGCTTGATCCCACTTTGTCTCTGATAAACTTTATGGTTTTAGGCTTTACTCCCAAGTCTCCAATCCATTTTGCTTTGATTTTTGTGTGTGGTGTGAGATGTGGATCCTGTTTTGATTTCTGCAGATGACAGTCCAGTTTTGCCAGCACTATTTGTTAAAGAGGTTGTCATTCTACCATTTGATAGGTTTTATTTCCTTGTTGAGTATCAGTTGACCATAGATTGCTGAGTCCATTTCTGAGTTCTCAATTATGTTTCATTGGTCTATGTGGTTGTCATTGTACCAGTACCAAGTTTTGGTTACTATTGCTGTATAGTAGGTTTTGAGGTCAGAGAATGCTATGCTTCCTACTTCGTTTTTTATTTTCAGAAGTGCTTTGCTTATTTGGGGTCTCTTGCCTCTCCAAATAAACTTGACAATTTCCCTTTTGATCTCTTTGAAGAATGAATTTGGTGTTTGTATTGGGATTGTGTTGAACATGTAGATTGCTCTTGGTAGGATTGTCATTTTCACAACACTGAGTCTTCCTATTCATGAACAGAGAACATTTCCCCGTTTGTTTAGGTTTTTCATTGTGTCTTGCAGAAATGTTCTGCAGTTTTCTTTGTCTGGGTCTTTTGTATTGCTAGTTAGGTTCATTCCTAAGTGTCTCAGTTTGTGGTTAGCTATTATAAATGATATTGCTTTCTTTGTTTCCTTTTTTGAGTTCTCTTTGTTACTGTAGAGGAATCCTACTGATTTTTGGGTATTGATTTTGTATCCTGCCACACTACTAAATTGGTCTACTGGCTCTAACAGTTATTTTGGTTGAGTCCTTCTGTGTACACTATCATATTGCCTGCATATAGCGACAGTTTAACCATCTCTTTTCTGATCTGGATGCTTTTCTTTCCTTCTCTTGTCATATTGCCCTAGCAAGCACTTCCAGTACAGTATTGAATAGAAGTGGTGACAGTGAACATCCTTGTCAGGTCCCTGTTTGCAAGGGACATGCTTTTAGTCTTTCTCCATTGAGAATTACATTGGTTCTTGGATTTGTAAATATACTTTTCACTATGTTGAGGAAATTTCTGAGTATCTTTGTCAGGAATGGGTACTGGATTTTGTCAAATGCCTTTTATGCATCAATTTCTAATATCATATGGTTCTTGTTATTTGCATTGTTAACTTGGTGAATTACATTGATTGTTTTTCTTTACTCCATGAAGTTTTAATGTTGTTATTATAAGATTATAGATAACAGCTGATAAAAGTTGCCTCAGGTTTTATAGTCAGTCATCTTT